TGGTCCCACTCTGACCTCTGGGTTTCCTGGCTCCTGGATCTCTAGGGAGGTGCTAATCTAGCCTTTGCCTGAGGCTATATCCAGCAAAAGCCTCCCTGCAGGGCTTGGGCTGGGCGGGTCCCAGGGTATCAACAAGGCGGGGCTAGCAGTTATGGCTGCTCTCAGTCTTGCCCTCAGAGGCTCTGCTACTCAGTGGCCCTGTAATTGCTGCAAGACCCATGGAGAGAAAGCTGCCCTAGGGTTCTGAGCGATGCCAAACAGTCCCACTTCTCCTGTATGAGTCTGGGTCCCTAGAGACTTGCCTGGAACTGGAGCTCAGAGCCTGAGACTCCCTCCCAATTGAAAACCACAACCTCGCCCTCAGCCGCCAGCCCGCTCTGCATGCACCTCTGCACCTTAGTATTTTACTTCCGTACTGCGCCTTCTCTGAGTCTCGGTATGCTTTTCTCTTTCCTTCTAGTTATACAATTTCCACTCAGCCAGTCTTCCTGTGGCTCTGGATGATGTCCGTTCTGTCTTTTAGTTGTATTTTTGAAGTGGTTGTTTGAGGCAGCAAACTCCGATGTTTACCTATGCCGCCATCTTGGTTTCTCCCCTCAAAGTATTTTAAGTGTTCAAGCATTTCTCTTTTTTTGCTTTTTTCTTGTGGTTTAATCATGGTTGTATTCAGAAATGCCACTTTTCTTTCTTTAACATCTCACTACATTTTAGTTAACATTTTAAAAAGTTTATTACTATTGAAAATATACATGAAAATTCATGTCCTATGATACAAGCATGAGTGTAGCCAACTTTTTAGAAAGGTCAATTTTTTTTAGCATTGCTTCATTATTCTTTCTGGAGCATGACTGTGAAGGCACATTGATATTGTGACCACTCATAGAATCTTGGAATATGAAATTATAATCTTCCAGATTTCTCATGAATGTTCCAAAGCTATAATGTAATCCAGTTGAAAACTGGCACCTGAATAATATTTTGTATAGCATAAATCGGGCTTGAGTGCTACTGTGTATAATTTTTTGTCTCCTGTGTACACACACACACACACACACACACACACACACAGAATGGGCACTGATTTTCAAACTTAAACAATTATAGCCAATAGAAAAATTATATTGTATATAACATAATTTCTTTGTAACATACAAAGAAATGTTTTTCAATAACACTCAGATTTCTTGTTGATGCAATCTAAAATTGCCTGTATTATTTTATTCTATTTCATTTTCAAATGTGGTCATCATACATTGATTTAGTGACCTACTAATGGGTAGCAATCCCAAGTTTGAAATCCACTTTACTCAGAGATATATATAAATGTGTGTAGAACATTGAAAAGTATCAAAAGGTAGTTTTTTAATACTTTAATTTTAAAAATTTCAAACCATTGTCGAATGATGAGTTGTCTCATTGCTACACAGGAACCAATCAACCATTCTTGCCCTTAGTGAATTGACTACATTATAGAATAAAAAACCTTTATTGTTTGAGTAGGCATTTTCCAATAAATTTTATCAAAAATCTAAAGCCTATATGTTGTGGAAAGAAAGTGTAGATGGCCAAAATGTGTCAGGTATAAAGAGAGGGAAGGAGGGAGGGAGGGAGAGAGAGAGAGAGAGAGAGAGAGAGAGAGAGAGAGAAGGCATTGGAAAGAGATGAGTGAGAATGAGTAAAATGGTTGCTTCTAGTGCTTCTAATACTGCAGACTAGAATGAATGCCAGAAAGAACATCCTGAGGATATTTTTAAACTTTTTCTTAACATTGTCGAGCGGCTGGGCATTAGTCAGTTAATATTGCCAGGAAGCACAATCTCTTGCTCTACCATGTCCAAAATAATCTGTTTAAACATCTTGAAAGCTATGATTATATTACCAGTGCTTTTGAACTTTGTGGGCTGATTATTTATTCTTTGAATTCAAGACAAATGGGGGGAACAAATTAAATTCTAATTTTTCACTTTTGGAAGTGGAGCTAAGAGCAAGTTCTTTTCCCCTCTAAATGTAAGCTGCAACAAAAGTCCATAGTATATTAATAAATCAGTTAAGTATTAAGATTACTTCCTGTTTTTACTGTACTTAGTGGGGAAATGATGGAGGACCACTAGCTTAAAGAGAGATAATGTATTATAGCTTCCTACCGTTCCAGATGAGAATAATCCTAGGAGCTAAATACTATCATTACCCCTATTTTACAGGTCAGGAAACAGAGGTACATAAGTTGCCCAAGATAGCACATAGTAAGTGGCAGATTAGAATTCTAATGTAGACATTGTTGTTTTAAAAATCCTTGTTTGTAATCACTATGCTATGTTGCCTCTGAGGTCTAAGATGTCCCTTCTAGGTCTTTCTATGTTATTCTTTATGCATATATTGTGACATATTTTAATTACTTTCTGCCAAATTTTCTAGTCTGTGAGCTCCATAAAGACATGGGTTATCTCTGTCTTATATGCCATGTCCTTATATGTGTATTTTAAAAAATACATAAATGAAAAAGCAATGATGTTACTAACTATAATCGACTGAACTCAAGTATTTACAAGAGTTGAGAAGAGAGTATATTTGCAATTAGTCAAGAGATGGCCTGAATAAAATATCATTTCTTCAGTTCAAGACATTTTTATAGATTTTTCTTGTCAGGCATTCAAACCAGTGATAATTAAATGCACTACCTAGATTGAATTTCGATCCCATTGGAAACAAACCAACAATTAAAAACATTGTTGGAAAAAACTGGGGAAACCAAGAATAGACTGGCAATAAATTATTTCAAGGAATTATTGCTAAATAGGTTGATTTTGATAGTGGTACAGTAGTTATATTTTTAAAGTCCTTATCTATTACAGATACTTAACGAAGTATTTAGAGTTAAAACTATATGATGTCTGGGATTTGCTTTAAAATACTCCAGATGTATTCATGAATTACTTCTTCAAAGAGAAAACAATTTTTACTGAAAAAAAATTCATAGAGACACATGGTGGCGCTGCAGGATAAGATGAAAACAGTGCGTGGACCTCACCGTGGACTCCATTATTCAAGGGAACAGAGAGCAGTCAACTCATTCAAGAGAGGTGTTTAGGAGCTTCGCTTTCAGAGCTGCCGGAAGGGCTCTACACCCTCCGGGGTTTACTTATTCTAAAAAATCAGAGCTTAGGCTTCCAAGATTAGGGCTAAACTTAAATTTTTCCACAAAGGAGATTGCTTGAAGGAACCATGGCGAGCAGAGGAGCGCTGGCTTTGCGGAAAAGGCAAGTCGCCATTCTCTTTGTTTTGCTGGGATTGTCTGAGGCAGGTCCTGACTCTGTGCGCTATTCTGTGGCAGAGGAAGCAGAAATTGGCTCTTTTGTGGCCAATCTGGCAAGGGATCTGGGGCTTGGGGTGGAGGAGCTGTCCTCCCGGGAGGCCCGGATAATTTCTGATGATAATGGCAGGCATTTGCATCTTAATTTATTGACTGGGGATTTGCTCCTAAATGAGAGACTAGACCGAGAGGAGCTGTGCGGCTCTGCAGAGCCCTGCGTGTTGCATTTTCAGGTGTTATTGCAAAACCCTTTAGAGTTTTTCCGGGCTGAGCTGCACATCAAAGATATAAATGATCACTCCCCTACATTCCTGGACAAGGAAATACTTTTGAAAATATCAGAAGGTACCACTCTTGGAACGGCATTCCCAATGGAGAGTGCCCAAGATTTGGACATAGGAAGCAACAGTCTCCAAAACTATACAATTAGCCCCAATTCTCATTTCTACATTAAAATTCAAGACAGCGGTGATGGAAAGATATACCCAGAACTGGTCCTAGACAGAATGTTAGATCACGAAAAGGAGCCTGAGCTCAGATTAACACTTGTAGCACTGGATGGTGGGTCCCCACCCAGGTCTGGGACAACATTGGTCCTCATCGAGGTCTTGGACATCAATGACAACTCCCCTGAGTTTCTGCAGGGGCTCTATGAGGTGCAGGTCCCGGAGGACACAGCCGTTGGCTCCTGGATAATCACCATCTCTGCTAAGGACTTGGATGCAGGACATTATGGGAAAATATCTTACATATTTTTCCATGCATCTGAAGATATTCGTAAGACATTTGAAATCAACCCAACATCTGGTGAAGTTCGTGTGATATCTAGCTTGGACTTTGAAGTAATACAGTCTTACACTGTAAATATTCAGGCAACAGACGGTGGGGGGCTTTCGGAAAAATGCACTCTTCTGATTAAAGTAATGGATATAAACGATAACGCACCAGAAGTGACCATGTCATCAATTACAGACAGAATTCCAGAAAACGCGCCAGAGACCTTTGTCGCTGTTTTTAGTATTCGAGACCAAGACTCCGGGGACAACGGAAGGATGGTTTGCTCTATTCAAGATGACCTTCCTTTTATCCTGAAACCAACATTTAAGAATTTTTTCACTCTGGTTTCTGAAAAAGCACTGGACAGAGAGATGAGAGAGGAGTACAACATCACCATCACCGTCACCGACTTGGGGACCCCCAGGCTGGAAACCCAGCACAACATCACCGTGATGGTGTCTGACGTCAACGACAACGCCC